CTATTCTATTCTATTCTATTCTATTCTATTCTATTCTATTCTATTCTTTATCTATTTTCTTTACTTTTCTGTTCTATTCTATTCTATTCTATTCTATTCTATTCTATTCCATTCCATTCCATTCCATTCCATTCCATTCCATTCTTTAAACTGTTTCCTAGTATGATTTGATTGCTTATTATACCCTATGACTATCATTAAGTGTTGCACCTGATGATTCTTGACAAGTGTATCTTTTCTTTTATGTACACTGAGAGCATTTTGCACCAAAGACAAATTCCTGGTGTGTCTAGTCACACTTGGCCAATAAAGAATTCAATTCAATTCAATTCAATTCTATTCTTTATCTATTATCTTTACTTTTCTATTCTATTCTATTCTATTCTATTCTATTCTATTCTATTCTATTCTATTCTATTCTATTCTATTCTATTAATTCCATTCTATTCCATTCCATTCCATTCTTTAAACTGTTTCCTAGTATGATTTGATCGCTTATTGTACCCTATGACTATCATTAAGTGATGATTATTCTTGACTCTTGACGGATGTCTCTTTTCTTTTATGTACACTGAGAGTATTTGCACCAAGACAAATTCCTGGTGTGTCCAATCACACTTGGCCAATAAAAGAATTCTAATTTCTACGTTTTGTTTCTTTTTCTCCTCTTGACTTTTGATGGGTGGGAGCAACACTTGCTATTTAGTTTTGCTGCTCAGAAAAAGCTAGGCAAGAGTGGCCCAGTCCTCCGTGTGTGGACTTCAATTCCCAGAATCCCCCCCTTACATCCTGGCAAATTAGCTCAGTGGTTTCTCAACCTCAGTCTCTTTAAGATGGGTGGACTTCGACTCCCAGAATCCACCTGTTCTGACCTAGGCTTCCTGGGCACTAAGCAGACTCTTTGTCCCGGGAAAACCGCTTTTATGAAACGAAGGTGAATTTATGGCATTCACCTTCATCCAAAGGCCTGGCAAACAAGTCTTTCAAGAGTGTGATGAGGAGCACAGGCCTTATCTAGCCTGGAGAGCTGCCGAGTAACTATTTCCCAATGCAGTGCTGACAAGGAAGGGCTCAGCGCAGAGTCTCTGAGATGCAGACAGATCTTCACACTGCTGCAACGGACGAATTGTTTCCTGCAAAAGCCCCCTCCCCTTTGGCTCCTCTTTTAATCCCTATGGGAGGGGGCATTCACCATCCACCTGTGTCTTTACTCCCAAGTCGACCCTTGTTCCTTAACTGTTCCCTTCTCCTGGCAGCTCTGCGCATGCGCACACTGGGAACAGGCTCCAGCTGTTCTTCTGCCTCACTATCTCCGGCTCTGAAAGGTAGCTAGACGGACGGCCCTGGCCCCATCTCTACCTCCAACGCAGAGCCCTCGTCAGAGCCTTCCTCAGCCTCCAGGACTGGCCCATGCTCCTTCCCAAACTTCTCACTGTCTGACTCTGCCGCCAGCTCCGCTAGCCTCCTGCGGGCCACAACACCATCCATTTGATCTGGACAGCTAGCTCAGTGTTTTTGCACCTCTGCAACTTTAACAGATGTGTGGACTTCAATTCCCAGAATTCCCTCCTTAGATTTTGGCATTCTAAGTCAGTGTTTCTCAACCCCAGCATCTTTAAAATGGATGGACTTCAACTCCCAGAATCCCCCATTTGATCTGGACAGCTAGCTCAAGATTTCTCAACCTCAGTAAGATATATAAACTTCAACTACCCAGAATTGCAGAGAATTCTAACTAAGGAATACTGGGAGTTGAAGTCTACCTATTCTAAAGTTTCAGAGGTTGACCAATACTCCTCTAGCCCCTTGAGTAACTACCACCCTGGTTAACAATAATTTTAATCTACCTATCACCTAGTCCACAATCCAAATGGTTACTGATCATGGGGACAAATTCCTCCCTCGTTCTTTGCTAGAACAAATTTTGCAAAAAGAACACCAGACCCTACATGGTTGTTAGTGATTCTCACACACTCTCATCACACTTACAACAACAATCACATTTTTCCTCACCTTGGGGAGAACTCTTATCTTCCTAATTAAGGCTGTATCCCAGTCACAGATGCTCTGCCAGGCAAAAAATACAAAGACAAGGAGAGAAATATCAAGCTACGTCATTGTTTCCAGTGGTCCAATTCTAAAAACAGAGTGCAGGTGGTTCTCGACTTAACAACCACAATTGAGCCCAACATTTCTGTTGCTAAGTGAAACATTGGTGAAGTGTGCTTTACTTTATTTTAAGACCTTTCTTGCCACTGTTGTTAAGTGAATCACTGCGGTTAATTTAGTAACAGTGTGTCAACTCATAAAACATTTTGTATACATGTTTTATAGTTGACAACAGAAAGAAGGGGGGAGTTTCAAAGAGCAGGCGGCAGTGTGGAATCGAAAGTACATTCCATTCATATTTTCTTCAAAGACTGATTAGATGACTGAAGGTTCTGCCATGCAAAAATCTAATTTGGAGAGCATGATTGATGACTCTTGGCTATGGACATTTTTCGTTGGATGAGGCACCCAAAGGAGTGTGTGTGTGGGGGGGGAAGCAGGATCAAGGGTGACAGTGAATTACGTATCTCAGAGTTGGCTATGCCCAGGTAAATGCCAGATGTAGAATGTTACCTTCAAATAAATCTTTTTTAGTTTTGGGAGTGTGGCTCGAGGCTCATGATTTAATTGGAGTAACTGCCGGAATCCTGACAGATAGCCAACTCTGAGATACGTAATTCACTGTCACCCTTGATCCTGCTTTTCCCACCACCCCTCTGGGTGTTAACACAGAGTTGTTAAGTGAATCCCGTTAACTTTGCTTGTCAGAAGGTCGCAAAAGGGGATCCCATGACCCAGGGATTCTACAACAGTCATAAGTACATGCCAGTTGCCGAGAATCTGAATATTGATCCCATGACTATGGGGATGCTGCAACAGTCGTACCAGTAAGTGTGTAAAACAGTGCAAAACTCATTTTTCAGTACCATTGAAACTTTGAACAGCCACTAAACAAGCTGTTGTAAATCAAGGACTACCAGTAATGTTGCTTTCAGACAAGACGTTATGGGTGGTTTACTTTGGTGAGATTTTTGAGCAGGGGTGGGATTCAAATTTTTTAACAACCTGTTCTGTGGGCGTGGCTAGATGGACGTGGCCATGTGACTGGGTGGGCGTGGTTTCTTCTTCTTTTCTTTTTTTTTGCAGTACTCCCTGGGCCTCTTGGGCCTCAGGGGAGCCTCCTGGGCAAAGCAGTAAAACAGCGAGAGGGATACGGAACAGCTGATCATCAAAAAAGCTGATCTTCGGGAGGGGGCAAAATACCTTAAGGAGTGACTGGGCGGGGGAGAACATAGCCAGCGATGCTGGGCATGAGTGCGATGTCATGCATGCACGATAAGGCCTGACTGGGCGGGGAGGGGAGGGGCAGGTGGAGAGGGGCGGGGCGGGGCAAGCAGAGAAGGGCGGGGCCAGCCAGGGCACAATTTGCCGGTTCTCTGAACTGCGCAGAATTGTAACAACCGGGTCTATAGAACCGGTCCGAACCGGTACAATCCCATCCCTGCTTTTGAGCCTTTAAGATAATGCACCACCATAGTCTTTTGGGGTAGTTGATGGTTCAACGTGTGGTACGGATTTAAACAATGGATTCATCTAATAGTCTAATTGAAGGGTTTCTGAGCCCCGCTGTCCTGCTGTGGCCATAAAAATCACCCACATGAAACACGAAACCTAATTAATGCCGAGGGATTAATTACTGGAGGAGCTTTAAACATTTGAAAAGCACATTCGTCTAAAATATAGTTTCTCTATTTGGGCAACTTGAAGATCGATGGACTTCATTTCCCAGAATTCCCCAGCCAGCAAAGACTTCTGGGAGTTAAAGTCCACACATCTTCAAGTCATCAAAGTCAATAATCAGTGGTCTAAAAGTAAGAACACCCCCAAGGACCCCACAATTGAGTTACAAGTATTATCTTTTATCGATATGTTCCTGTTCTGAGCATCTCACCGTTTTAAGAAACTTCTTTATTCAGACCAGGGTTCTGTTCTAAAAACAACAACAACAGTTTCACACATGACTTTAAGCCAGTGTCTTCCAAACTTGGGTAAAATGATCCAAAATTGGACAAAAGTGGGTGGGGTGTGGGTGGGTGGTGGTGTAGGATTGTTTAACTTTATAAATCCAATCACAATCTGGACATTTAAATGAGGACATTCTGATCAGCGGTTTGGGGGAACGAAGGAAAAGGTTTGGGGATCCCTAATCTATGGTTGAAAGTGGCTTGCTTGGTTTTAGCTGAGAGCAAGGGTCTCCCCAAAGTTGGCAATTTTAAGACATGTGAACTACAACTCCCAGAATTCCGGGAGTTGAAGTCCACAAGTCTTAAAGTTGCCAAGTTTGGAGATCCCTGGCTTTAGAGTGTTGCTGTTTATAATACAACGATGGCTTCAAGCCACATGAGGACACCTTGGTGTGACTTCAACCTGTCCACCTGTATTAGTAAGCCTTAGTAAGGGCACACCTAGAGTACTGCATCCAGTTTTGGTCGCCATGATACAAAAAAGATGTTGAGACTCTGGAAAGAGTGCAGAGAAGAACAACCAGGATGATGAGGGGACTGGAGGCTCAAACATATGAAGAACGGTTACAGGAACTGGGCCTGGCTAGTCTAGGGAAGAGAAGGACCAGGGGAGACAGGAGAGCATCTTCCAATATTTGAGGGGCTGCCACAGAGAGGAGGAAGGGGTCAAGTTATTTTCCAAGGCACCTGAAGGCCAGAGAAGGAATAATGGATGGAAACTGAACAAGGAGAGATTCAACCTGGAAATAAGGAGAAACTTTGTGACCGTGAGGACAATCAACCCATGGAACAGAAGTTGCCCTCTGAAGTTGTGGGAGCTTCATCCCTGGAGGCTTTCAAGAAGAGACTGGACTCCCATCTGTCAGAAATGGTGTAGGGTCTCTTGCTTGAGTGGGGGAGTTGGACTAGATGACCTCCAAGGTCCCTTCCACCTCTGTTAATCTATGAAACTCTCTCTCTCACTTACCTTCAACAGTCGGTCCAGGGACCCACCATGATCCGAGGAAGACGCCCTTGGCGAGTGTTCGATTCCCCCCCGATGCCTCCGGCTCGCTCTTCCATGCGCCTGTCGCCCACCTCAGCCACCGCCGAAGCTGCACGCCACCCCGGCCGAAAATGCTGAGGAGACGCAACTTTTATAGAGCCCTTTGGCGCAGCACATTGTCTGCCCGGTGACAAGGCTGACAATGGGGTGGAAGCATCTCGCACCCACCGGTTGCCAAGCATCCACTCTCTCCTGCCAGGTTTTTTGCTGATGCAGGAGGACCAATCAATGGAATCGTGGCCAGGATTCAACGGAGCCAGCAAATCGTCTGATCCCTAACGAGAGATCGCGGCTGGCATTCTTTTGGGACTGCAGGTCCCATCCCCGAGCTGAAGGCTACCGTTTCCCTGCAGCCCCCAGGGCCCTAAAACCCAGCCCTGGAAATGTTGGTCATCCTCAACATACATTTTAGTTCATTTAGGGACGGTTCGAAAGTCACAACAGCAATGGAGAAAGGGACTTTGAACCATGTTTTTTTTTTTCACAGTTGCAACACGATTTCTGACAGAGGGCAGTCCAGTCTCTACTTGAAAGACTCCAGGGATGAAGCTCCCACAACTTCCGAAGGCAACTTCTGTTCTATGGGTTGATTGCTCCCACTGTCAGAAAAATTCCTCCTTATTTCCAGGTTGAAAAATCTCTCCTTGTTCAGTTTCCACCCATTATTCCTTGTCTGGCCTTTGGGTGCCTTGGAAAATAACTTGACCCCTTCCTCCTCTCTGTGGCAGCCCCTCAAATATTGGAAGATCGCTATCATGTCCCTCTGGTCCTTCTCTTCCCTAGACTAGCCAGGCCTAGTTCCTGCAATTGTCCGTCGTATGTTTTAGCCTCCAGTCCCCTCATCATCCTGGTTGCTCTTCTCTGCACTCTTTCTAGAGTCTCATCTTTTTTGTATCCTGGTGACCAAAATTGGATGCAGTTCTCTAGGTGTGGCCTTACTAAGGCTTTATAGAGTGGGATTAGTACCTCTCTTTTTCTTGACTGTATCCCTTTGTTAATGCCATTTAGGATGGCCTTGGCTTTTTTGCTGCTCTATTTATTGAAATGTATATGCATATAAATTTAATAAATAAGTAAAGCTTGTGTGCATCTCTCTCTTTTCTCTCTCTATAAAAATAAGTCCCAGAGCAGCCCTGGCAGATCCCTGCTGCTTTTGTGAGTTGAAGGATCTTTCATTTGAGGAAGAAAGATCTGGGTTTTTTTCCCCTATTCCAACACCCCCCCCCCAAAAAAAAACACCACACACACACAAAAAAACCCCAAATCAGCACTGGATTAACGGGGAGAACACCAATCGTTATTTTAACTCAACTTGGAATTCTGCTGAAATGGCTGTTTTTCTTCCTCTGGAGTTGGAGATCAGGCGGGGATGTTTTCAAATGTTCTGCCCCTAGGAATATCAGCAGGGCAATGTGCCCCCCTGCTGAAACTTAAATAGCCCATGGTGTATTTAAGTAAGCACTGAGAAAGGAGGGAGGGAAGAAGGAAGGAAGGAAGGAAGGAAGGGCCTCCCCTGGCATTCTCACGTTATTACGCAAAAACGAAGAACGACAAACAAGTCAAACGATTTATTCAAGAGACGCTGGTCCTGGAATTCTGCGTCGTTGAAATAGAACAATTTGCCTTGGACACTTTGGCTAGCAATGTGCAAACTCCCAAACGTTGCAGGAGGCGGTCAGCCCCCTCCTGGAAGATCCAGCGCAGGAAAAGCAGCCCTTAAACCCTTTAAAAGGCTTAGTCCCTTCCCCAGGGAGCCCCCGGATTCAGTCCTCCAGGTTACGGAAGGCGTTCTGCATCTCCTCATTCAGCTGAGCGTAGCAGGCTTTTATCTTGGCCTCGCCATCCTTTGCTGGGTCCTGCATGGAATATGGAACAACAGACTTGGAAGGGGCCTCGGAGGCCTTCTAGTCGAACCTCCTGCCCAAGTAGCAGACCCTAGAGCCTAGGCCATCTCAGTCAAAGGGCTGTCCAGTCTCGTTTGGAGAACCTCTAGTCATGGAGCAGCCACAACTCCAGGAAGAAAGCTGATCTATCTGTCATCTATCTCTCTACCTCCCTCTCTTTCTCTCTCTCTATCTCCTCTATCTATTGATCTATCAATCTATCTATCTTTTTTCTAATCTCTTTCTCTTTCTTTCTATCTATCTACCTCTTATCTATTTCTCTCTATCGTCTATCTATCTATCTATCTATCTATCTATCTATCTATCTATCTATCTATCTATCTATCATCTATCTATGTATCTATCATCTATCATCTATCTATCTATCTATCTATCTATCTATCTATCTTTTTCTGATCTATCTCTCTTTATCTATTTCTATCTCTCTATCATCTATCTATCTATCATCTCTCTATCTCTCTCTCTATCTATCATCTCGTTACCCTCTCTCTCCTATCTATCTATCTATCTACCGTGTTTCTCATATAATAAGGCCGGGTCTTATTTTTTTTTGAGCCCTGAAAAAACGGCTAGGCCGTCTTTTCGGGGGGGACTTAATTCCCCCCCTTGCATCTTAGGGCGGGCGGCGACGGCTTGGATGTTGACCTTGGCATTGGTGGGGCACTTTGTATCAGGATCAACGCAGGCAGCACCATATCCGGGTGTGCAACAAAAGTATTTCCTAACAGCAAGCCCCCCCGCCATTTCCCCCCCATTTCGCATGTTTTAATATAGGCCTTAATTTGGGGGGAGGGGCTTAATTTCATTTCATGCCTATAAAACATGCTGGGA